AAAGTTTTAAATTAAAATCTACTGAGATTCGTGGCATTCTATTTAATTGCTTGCTCTTGTCTAAATATCCGATAAAAGATAAGTGCTGCGCCGTTTTTTGTGATCCGTATGTTGGCAGTGGCAAGACCGTTACTGTAAGTTGCAAATGTCACCATTTTCCCTTTGGAATTTTTTTACATTTCATTTTCGCGTCGTTGTCAACACAAATGTTCCGTTGAAATGTCCATTTTGTGTAGAGCTCACAACAAAACGAAGCCAGCAACAGATCCAGCAGCTGTCCAGGTAGGCAACTAACAAGCAAAGAGCCTTGCTGATGACAGCCGGTGTTGACAGGAGCAACCGTAATACATACAAAAACAAACACCGAGAGTGTGAGCAACAGTTGTGAGCGACAATGTTTGCATTTTCATTTGTTGTAGCTTTTAGCTTTTACGGCAAGTGCAACAATTTGTTATGACGCCTGAAAATGTGCAACGTGTTAAATGACATTTATGAATGTTCAAGTGAAAAAGACTAGGGAGTGCCGACCATTCGTTTGGTTGTTAATACCCTCAGTGGTGATGCAGCTACACTCGGTGCCCCGCTCTGGATTACCATGGATGATGTGAGCTTGTTTAGCTGGTTTCGGTAAACAAATCATTTGGATAAATAAAAAAGTCAATAACACAGGCTGTTCACAATTCGGAGATACCATCGTTATTTTCAAACTTTTACGGGAATTCAAAATTCGTTGCATGTTTTGTCATGCACATACTGTATTATTTATGATTGTAACCGATGAGCTACGGTGGGTTAGTATTTAAGCGTTTTATAGCACGTACAAACATGAAAGTTAATTTAATGGCATAAGAACTCTATTTATAAACAAGTAAGGAAGAACCATATTCTGGTGTAACCGAACAAGCAATACTCTTGCAACTTGCCACGATTAAAGCCGGGGAAATACTTCAGGTGTTGGTAAAACTTTATTTTCAAAATGGTGGCTGGAATTGTTTTGGTCTGATTTTGGCAATTGCTGGTCATAAGGTGGCACACCTCAAGGCCCTATTCGTGCAAAGTTTTATTTGGATTACCTTATGGTTACATGGGGAGTAGGTGGGGTTATAAACCGATTTCACCAACTTTCACAGGATGGGTAGAGATGTCAAAAAGATTAGCCTTGAGAAAATTTGGTTATTATAGCTTGAATGGTTTAGGAAGTATGTACATTCAACTTTTTAGAGGGCGGGGCCCCGGGCTTTTAAACAATTTTTTTTTTCAACCAATAACAGCCTTGTATTTTATTGCGGAGCTTAGTTATGGTACTTACAAGATCGTGTTGGGAACGGTAGTAAATATTTATGCATACTATATACACAAACCATTTACATGCAAAGTTAATGATTTACTGCTACATTAAGGGGTTAGGAGTACTCAGAGTTTTTCAAAAATAATTTTTTTTTTAACTTTTTTGTAATTATCTTGTCTTAGAAATAATTTTTGAAGTTAATTAGAAAAATAATTTCCGGGTTATTCGATAATTAGCAAAGAGTTCTTTGGCGCTCTGGAACGTTCGGAAATCTTGAAACAATTTTCCTGAAACTCCCATTTTATTAATTTAAAAAAAAGCCTTTAATCATGCTTTAAATTATTTATTAATAAAACTAATGGTTTTTGTTGATTTTAAATGAATCTCCAAGGATTAGGATGGTAACCGCAAGGAGCTCTGGTTGAAATTGGATCAACCCAAACAGCTATTACTTATAATTAGTTTTTTTTTTAATTTTCAAGTCGAAACCTTATTTAACGATGCTATGTTTTTACTATTATAAAAGAAAATAATTTACTGGGACAAAAAGAATTTTTAAAATTGTATCTTTTTTATCTCTCTCCCTTAAATTCAGAAGATGTACTTTGACTTTACTTTATTTATTTATCATGTAGCAAATTTTGGTATACGCTCACTTTTCTTTCGAGAATCCACGATACCACTGATATCCCTTATTCCCAATTAAAGTTAAATTTTGGAAAATTCAAAGAGTCTAAACTTTATATACGGTATAAGGTGGAATCTCTTTAGAATAATTAGATTAACTTTGTACTAAGTGTGAAGAATATTGTTATCAGACCATTTTATGTAAAAGTAAATTGCATCCATAATTACTATTTAGAGACTCTTTTAGAAACTCTTTTAATTTCTCGAAATGCGAGTAGACTTTGTTATACGATAATATACATATTTCACTGTGATCGGATGCACACATACATAAATATCTTTTCTTGGCAAATAATAAAGCAAATGCACATAAGATTTATAACGAGAACGAACTACATTAAGTTTAACGAAGTAGACGAGGAAATGGAAGTGAGCGTCAAATTTTAGAAAAATACAAGTAAAACGGAGCAACGAATAATGTATTTTGCATTGAGAAGGCCAGGAGCTAAATTACAGGAGCAGAATAGGAAAGGGAGTACAGAGTACAAAAATAACTTGAAGAAATTTAGAAAAAAGCATTAATATTAAAAACCGGTAAGGAAGGGGTAAGTGCGGGTGTAGCTGAACATTTTATACACATGAAACTTGCAAGGATAAAATCCTGAGAAATTCCTTCAATTAATTAATTTTATAAATATCGGGTTTTCCAATAGGGATGATATGATTTCAAAGTAGATTTTAACCTCAAAATTGATATTAACTAAACAAAACAATCCTGATGAACACAATCTATGAGCAGTCATTAAAGCATAAGAACCACAAATCCCTCAAGAAGTTAAAGTGGTATCCGTCTTAGTGGTGCGGTAAACTAACAAAACTGTCGATTCTTGTGCGAAGAAAATCCACAAATTATTCATGAACAACCATTATATTCACCTATATTAACAGTTTGGTGTGGTTTTTGGTCTGGTAAATTCATTGGTTCGTACTTTTTTCGAAATTAAGCTGGTTACTGTCAATGGAGAGCGGTATAGATCGATGATAACTAACTTTTTATGGTTGCAATTGGAAGAAGTTGATCTTAACAAAATCTGATTCCAACAAGACAAGGCTACTTGCCCCACATCACTTGCAACAACCGAATTATTGCGAGAAAAGTTTGGAAATTCGAACTTGTGATTTAACACCATTCGACTACTTCTTGTGGAGTCATTTGAAGTCATTGGCCTTTAGCAATAAACCAGAATCTCTTCAAGCTTTAGGAATCAATATTGAATATGCTATTCATGATATACTACTTTATTTAGTGGAAGAGTACTCGAAAATAGGGTTTATCGAATTCGTTTCTGCAAAAGAAGTCGTATACGCCATTGGAATGATGTTACGTTCAAAACTTAATTGTATCGATTGTACTTCGTATTGAATAAAAAAACATTTGAGTTTCCTTCACTCTTATTAGAAAACCCTTTTATATAACTCATATACTGGCCGACATATTGAGCATTGGGTTTTTTAGATAACGCAAATCATTGTATGTGGTATATGAGAGTGTGCATAATTTGTATACCAATATCACATATTTTCGGCATTAAATTATATTATGTACAATATTATCCTTTTAGTTAATTTTGTTAAGATATCAATAATATTGACCGATATATACGGTATAAAGTCAATCAGAAGTTTGAAAATCTTATATTTGGTATATGAGAGATAGGGATAGTGTTGAACTGCTTTTATGCATTTTTGCCATTACCACAGAAAAAGCTGACCACTGAGTTTCATTAAAGTATTTCACATACACATATTGACATCAGATAAATATTCTCTCTGAGTTTCTATAATATGGTATATTCCACAGATTGACAGATATTTTCGATAAAAAGTTCGCAATAGTAATTGGGGTCCATATATTCGGTACCTGGAGGCCTGAACAGTTTTGCTTCGATTCAGATAATTTTAGGTCATAAGCTGGCAGACTTCAAAGTCAGTATTCGTGCAAAGTTTTATTCCAATACATTAACTGGGTCTTAATTTGTATACTGCAAAGTGAAAAAACCAGATAGAATTTAAAATTGTATAATATGGGAAGTAGGCGTGGTCTCCCATTTTCATACTGGGGCATTAGAATGTCAAAATAATGCCACCTACCGAATTATCATCCGATTTAATCCTTTTTTACAATGTCAATAGTGGTGCTTAAGCGATTTATACTGAGCGAATTTGGTTATTATATCTATATTGATTTAGGAGATATGTACATTAAACCTCTTAGACAGTGGGGCCACGCCCATTTTTTTTTTAATTTCAACCCACAGGTGCCTCTTGCTACTGCGATTTCTTGTGCCAAATAACAGTTCGTTATCTTAATTAAGTGCTTATGTTTTCGATTAATGACGTTTTGTGGGCAAGTTTCATTGCAATATTTCAATTTTACTCAAGTTACAGCTTGCACAGACAGACAGACGGACGGACGGACAGACAGTCACTCGGAATTCAACTCGTCTAGCCATCCTGATCATTTATATATGTCTAATCCTGTATATCCATCTCGATTAGTATAATATTAGGTGATACAAACAACCGTTAGGTTAACTGTAAACCACGTATAAACTTTAGTATGACTCATACAACCATCATCATAAGTTTTTAATTAATTTGTGTGTCTCAGTCCTTTCGTTTCTGAGATATCGCTCTAAAATTGTGAACATGTCCCTTTCTTACAAAGAAGCTGCTCATTTGTCGGAACCGCTATCGGGCAAATTATCAAAATTAAAACTACTTCTGTACATTGTTAAGGGTATTATTGTTCCTTTTTTAGAATGTCTGTAATTTTAACATCTGTTATCCGATTTACATGAAGTTAGGTGCAGTTATAACGGTCGGAAGGCCACGAAGCTTCACACTATCGAACCAGTATCGAAAAGTTTTAAAACCTTTTTAAGAACTGCAGTTGGAGATCATCCTCCATATTATTAAAGGATTAAGTCATAATTTCATTAAAAACGTTTTTTCGTTGTAAGACGATTATAATAATGTTGGCAATGCTTCAACTTCTATAAATAATTCGCTTAAAAACACCTTATTTTTTATATTTGACGGTTTTAAATCATTTTATTGTTTCGTCATACAGGTTATATATAGTGTGTGTGTGTATGTGTTCTGGAATATTTTTATATTTTTGCGTAGAGAATAATATAATGTTAGTTCGTTTTAGTATATGTATGTATATGTAAGTAAATGCATATATATACATATATATATAAATATAGTATCAGCTTTTATATGCATGCAGTTACATAGTTATAACGGTTTATTTTAATACAATGTTTCGTTAAATTACAGTTCAATTTTAATTTATTATTGCTTCTGTAACATATGAAGTAGAATGTACATACATCCTCGTAAATATCCATTATTCTTAATATACACAACGGGAAAATCGAAATTTTGCAAATCTAAAACCAAAATTTCTAAACAATATCTTAAAACTTTGTAATCACTAACGTCTTTACGTACAGAAACACACAAACAATATTCAACAAAATTGATTAATATATGCATATTTACATATTTATTGTCGCATACTAGATTCCCTAACGCGGCTGGCTACTAGAACTATAAGAGATGTGAGAAATGCTGAACGCACATTCTATTTAAAATAGCTAATAACTTTTAGTCTACAAGTACATATTTCATAACACATCATTAATTTTTTGAAAAACAAAAAATGCATACGCATTACCTAAAACACAAAAAATCGACTTATCAACTTCTTTCAAAATAAATTTACCATATTAACAATTTTTGAGTTGTAATTTTCGTATTTTGTTTTGCTCTATTTTTTATATTTTAATTTTTTAAATTTAACGGTTTTTATCAGCATTGAAATTGCTTCGTTTTTAATCTTTCGTTGGAAAATCGCGTTTTTCCTCGTACATTTTAAGCTGGTTTTCCCTCAATGCTGGGCTGCTAGTGAAGTGTTGCTGTTGTTGCCACTCCATCGGCTTAGTTGCGCGCCAACATACCGTTAATCATAATGTTGGCCAGTGCATTGCGTCGTTTGCGCCATGCGCCCATCCCCTGTGCGTGGAACTGCAACTGTGTGTACCATTGCTTCGTGCGAACACCATCCTCGGCCTGAAAGTACGCAGCAAATTAGTTGAGTGGTAGTTTGTGTGCGACATACATATAAGATATGTAGGTTAAGGAGGTACTAATAATTAGTTACTAATTTTTATAATAAATATAATACATTTGTGTTTTTATTGCTATTCTGAAATTGAAAAAATTTAATAAAAACTTCTTAATTGGATTCGATTGATTGGGAACTTAGATTTTGCTTTAGAAAAAGGTTGGACTAATAAAGTAACTGCATTTTTAGTCATTTTGCAGAGGTTTAATAAAGTAGAGAGAGTCATTCTTAAGACTATATCCTTGTCACTGCTTAGAAGAGCAAACACAGCTAAAAGTTGTTTTTCGGTAGATATGTGGTTTTGATGCCGAAGTAAAATGCATATAATATATTTTTGCAGCAAATGGGAACGTGTGTCAGCAATAACGGGCCGGTATTTTCTTCCAAGGCGTCTATCGTCTAGAGCTTATCTGCGTAGACAAGTGTAGACCGCCGATTCAGGCACATAAAAGTAATCAATCATTGCTTTAAAGCGTTTCCTATTGACTCTAACAATATGGCCGGCTTAATTTTTTAAGAAATATGTACCGCGAATTTCCTCTGCCCATACAGCACACCAAACAGTGACTTTTCCAGGATGTAACATTGTCTCAACAATGGCTTGTCATTACCCCAAATGCGACCATTTTGTTTATTAACAATCCCATTCTACTACAAGTAAGCTTCATCGCTAAATACATATTCTTATGAAAATCTTCTTGCACCAGTTGGATTTTGTAAGCCCTCAAACTAAGATCATTTCGCAAATTCTCCCATAAAGTGTATGGATACAGCTCCGATTGTTACGCGCGTTGGCGGACTCATTCGGGTCTTCTTCGATACTCTGCACGGCGCACGGCTGATGCGGAATTACCAACTCTGCTGGGCAAAATATAATAGAAAATAGCAAACCAAATTGAGTATAAATCAGGTACAGCAGTCAAAAAGACCAACTCCGAAAAAAGTATTGCCTCATTGAAAACCACAAGTCTGAAAAGAACACCCGTTATATTTTTATTCTAGTCACTTTACATAATAACGCTAATATATAAAATTATATGCAGCACAAAGGAGTCGTGTAATCCTGAGTACAATATTATTCTTGACGTCATAAATTCCTCGTTCTTTACTGCCGCTCTTCGTATCTCTTGTACTTATACTGTATCTATACATTTTTGTTATTTAACTTTTCAACTTTTTGTGCTAAGCATTTATAACAGCTTTATATATATTTACATCACCCATATATTGTATTTATTTGAGTACTTACTTTAAATATGAAAGTGTCCTTCGATGAGATTTCCTGTATCTCGAAATATTCATCCCAATCCGCTTCGCTGCACACAACGCATCTATCCAGATACAATGGCTCACGTACCAACGTGTAACGTCCGCATTTTTCCTTTACCACCAGCAATGAGGCCTCTCGTATGCCGGTGTGTTTCGGGAAATTCAGTTTATCTGACATAACTTTTTCTGCCTTGTAATTGGCACTTGGCTGCGGGCATTGACGGCACGTTGGTGGAAGGTGGGCAGACATTACGTGGCATATGGGGAATGCAGTGTCGACATTTCGACCAGGGGACATGTGGTAAAAATGAGAGAGAAAAGAAAAAAAATCGAAAATAGTGAAAATCCTGTAAAATTTTATTTCAAAACAAAGGCAAAGAGTGAACTTTAGAACTCGCCACACACATACGCCTATTGCACACAAGACATGAAGGCGTTGGTTTTAGGCGCTAATACAACTGCAGTTCGGAGCTGTTGGCTTTTGTAAATTTTAAAACATGCTCTCAATGCGTGAGTTACACACTCCAACGTCGCGACAACCGAACTAAAGGAATTCGCTGGTCTCCACACTCATAGAAAATGGTGGATGGTAGGTGTGGAACGCGCGTTTCTCCACTTCATTCGGTCTACTATGCTGCATGTGGATTTATATACTTGCGCACTTTTGAGACTAGTTGGGTCCATATATCCTTGTACTCATGTAAAAATTTGCATACCAGCGCAATACGTGAGGGAGGGGACTGTGTTCATTTATGTAGCTATTGTATACCTATGGCTGTTGGCAGAGCTGACATTTGTTAAGCCATTCGCGTTTGTTACTAAAATCAATTCACAGGATTGTCGGTCTGATATTTGAAAAGCGGCTTTGTAATAAAATTCATTTCCGCTGCTTATCTTTGAAATTTTATAGTTGTATAAATGAGTTGTTCGAACAGTCGAATGAGCACACCAGTTTGACGTTGAGCGTGGTTGATGTCGTTACGAGCGTACGTGCTCATGCAAATAAAGCTTTTGTCAGACTTTCGACACGTTTAACGGATGTGAAAGTTTGGCTTTTGGTGTGCAATTGTTGCTTTGTATTTTTTGGGCTTTTAGTTGAAATGAAAAAGGATAACAAGGTTTTGCTTTCAGTTATGTTTGTAGATAATTTTGAAACGATTAATTCTAACTGTTTCATGAAAGAATTGTACTAGAAGTTCTGACCAGCTCTGTAAAATTTGTTCACACTTAGTTGCTGTTTTATTTCCCTTGGCTTGTGTGTTGGTACTTATTCCATGAAATAATATAATCTTAGCAAACCTTACAGCATCAGCTGAAGAGATTGAAACAATTAGTTGCATTAAAGCTGTTTCTAATGGCTTTAATAGTAAAGCATAAATACTGAAATTCGAAATGAAGTGCTTTTATATTTTAAGAATTCGAGAATGTACTCTGTTAATTATAGTTTTGATGGTTTATTTTATTCCGCTATTATATTTGGACATTATTTCTACGCTGTAATCGGTAATAATAAGTCGACTTTTCCGATTCAATTTGTAATCTCATGCAGTAACTTTAAAACTGTTCATATGTTTTCAAAACTGTGTTTATCACGAAATAATATTAGCTCAAGGAATAGTAAAGCAATCTTATTTCTCATGTTGCACTAATCAGAAATTATTTGGCTTAATGAGTAGTTTGCATAACTTTTACAGTTTCAGCAGTAAAAATAGAATTTCATGTGGGAAAGAGAGCGAGAGGGAGAGCTCTGGAGATTTCGGACGTCGGATGGGCTCACAAAGATTTAATACTGATATTTTATAATGGTTAAATCGAAGTCCTACGGACTTTCAATAGAAAATTGTGGTCTCAACGCCCGGCTAACATTATTTTGTTCTTTAAAGCTGTACAGACTTTCTAGATCGGTTATTTGGTTACCGAAAGAGGTCTGAAAGCTCTATTTCAGAGCTATTAAAATGTTCATTCGGAATACATTAAAATTAAATTATACTATATCTTTGGTCCGGGTATTAATGGTGGTAAGACCAAAAGGCAAGGACCTCATGAAGATATATATATAAGGGTATAAAAATGAACAAAGACTGGTACTGGCAACAAATTGAAAAAAGTGCGAAAGTGCGATAACTATTCAATTAATCAGAGATTTTGAATTTTACACATAGGATGGTACAATTAAGCCTTATAGCTGTATTCATAAATGGGTTGAATCGGGTCAATAATTTCCCTTAGCCCCCGTATACCTAATATAAAAAATTTTTAACTTTCGGGTGACTTTATACAACATACAATATATCGGTCAATATGTGAATTATCACAACGAGAATTAGAGAACGTGTTTCAATCATAACGATGTATCTTTGCGTCTAAACTGTATAAAATTGGGCGAAAACTTGCTAAAATCGGGTCAGTACTATCCCCAACTCCAGTATACTGTTGTATCTTAATTTCTCTTATATTTTTTTAAAATGTGGAGGTATAAAATGTTAATTTTCTCCCTAATTTACAGTAACCTTATTGACTTAGTTATATAATCACTTTCTTTACCTACCCTCAAAGGCAAATTATTAACTGGGGTTGTAGCGAAACTGTAATACCCTACACAAATAAACAAGTTTTCTATACAAATATTTGATTTTGATCGTACAGTCTCCGACATTTCAAATTCAAATTGATATTGCTTATGATAATGGGTCAATTGCGTTAAACAGAGCCAACTCAATTCACACGCATACACACATACAATTATTGAGCTTGGTTTAAGGGTAAGTTGACAGAACGCAGGTGGTTGGGGATTGATAGGAACAATGCATTTAGCTATTCTCACCTTGCCATTCGTAACGAGTAATGCATTAACTGGCGTCAGTTTGATGGTGCGAGCCTTCTTCCAATTACTATCTGTAGGTTGTGTGTACAACAGTTTGCCCTCCATGGCAAAACGTACTTCATCATGATTCCATTCGAGAATATCGATGGCCATTTTCCGTAGTTTTATATTGATCATATCGATTTCGCTGGAAGCACGTCGATTAGGACTCGATGACGATATGCGGCGCCATAGTTTGGTTGGTATATCTTTGGCTTCCTGGTTGATATGGTTAAGGTGCAGTTCGATTTTCTCTTGTGCCTGCTTTAGTTGGTCACGTCCTTCGAGATGAGCCGGTGTGACTTTGTAGAGGCGAGCGAGTAAGAGCGGATATTTAGTCACACGTTGTACGGGCACCTAGACAAAGATGAATGCAATCGATAAACGTGATCGTGAATATATTTTTGTTTGCGCACACACAAAGGTGTATGGGAAAAATAGAAAAAGAAATACATGTTTCTGAAATATGCTTGGAAATGTGGTAAGATAGTTTATATGAACAATGAACACGTGTGGTGTATACCATGCACAAATCGGTCACAGCTTAATTGATTTAGGACTGGTGTAAATATTATGGTTAATATTCAACTAAAAATTTTAACTAAGAAAACCAAAACACAAGTAAAATGTAAAGTGAAAATGCTAAGAATATTTAAGTAGTAATCTTTCCCACTTACCATGAGGAACGAATTAAGATTCATGCGACGTAAGACGGCGTTCTCCATTTGAGAGACCTTGAGGAATATGCGGAGTAGCTCCTTTTCCTTTTCAAGATTGGCCAGCAGCAAACTGGCGCCCGCCTGTCGCACACAGTAGCTCTCGAAGGCGTGCAACATCTGCGTGAAATCGAGGAATATCTTACCGATGTTCACTGTCAGCAGATCGTCGTCGCCTTGCTCGAGAGCAATGTCGAGTGCGTCGCGCATACGCTCCGCCAGTGTTTGATTGTTCTCGAGCAATTCTTCGGTATTCAAGAAGATTGCAGAGAGCTGCTCCTGTGTCAGTAGACCGGCGACCAGCATGGGGTGACAAAACTCCTCTAAAATAATTTGTAAATCACGTCCATACTTCTCCTCTGTTTCGACAATTTCTGTTATAATCTCTTTGCGTTCCACACGCTTTTTGCCGCATTTACGACAAACGAGTGGCGCAAACATAATGCCAGAGTCGGTGACTTGTGTCTCAACAGGACCATCGCAGTCCTCACACAGGTGTACGGGGCAGTCTTTGGAAAGCTGTGCATTAACTGTCGGCAGAGGGTTTTGATATTTACTTCGTGAGCTTTTGCTAGTCTCTGAGCCGACGCCAGAATCGTTGCGTTCAATATCGCTGGAGGCGCCTTTGTTGCGTTGCAAAAGACTTGGATGACTGCCGTTGCCACAAATGAAGTTGTTGGTTGGCGGAGAGAGCGAGCTCATCGTACTTTGTGCATCTTCGCTCGAATCGCTCAAGATTGAGGCGCGTGAACTGAGATCGCGCATTGTTTGACGTTTACCGAGCTCGCTGAGTGTGTCACAGGCTTCTTCTTCTATAATTATGGGATTAGAACAACTCAGCGGATAATCGAAAGTTTCTTCACGTACTACACCACGTTCTTTAGCATCCACAAGGTATGAGAGTATATCATATTTTGATGCCCCTTCGAAGATTGAACGCGCTGCCTTCTTCTCCAAATCGGTATCGTTGAGTGGCGGTGCGCTTAATGGCAAGGGTGGCGGTACATCATTGATTTCCTCATAAATGGGATCGGCGTTATTGCGTATGGACTCGTAGTGATGACTCCCTATATCTTCATCCAAATTGGTAGACATTTCTATTTCTGCTAGTGTGGCATCGACCAGCATCTGATAGAATTTTGAACGCGTATTTGCGGAGCTTATATCATCATCGCCTGGCGTTGTGATTTCGCTAGAGCAGCTCTGATAGCAGTCGGACTCGTTAGCGTCGAAGTCAAACATTTCATAGTTATTGGCCGACGCAAAACTGTTCGCAGAGCTAATGCTGCCACGATTTGACATGCCATCTTCATCTTTGGTGGGTACAGTGAGGTGGGTATTGTTGGGTGTGGAAGGCACATTCGCTGCTTGCGGTGCAGATATCACGGAATGCTGTCGCTCTTCCTTGATTTTCTGCAGCGATATATTGATTAAGCGATTCATGTCATCATTATCTTTGGTACCAGTCATATCTACTGTGCTACGTGATTCTTGCAGTCGTCTCAACGAGTTTTCGATAAGCTCGGCAACGGTTTCGGTTTCTAAACCGTCGGCAACCTGACTAAGCATTGGATCTTCAAGCAATTTCGTAATGAACGAAGTTTTATTTTGTGTTGTAGATGAAAACATTGTTTTCGGCGTATTTGTCTCGCCAGGATTGTCATTCAACAAAATTGCTTTGTCAGTTGTAGCTTTGGTGTCTTTCTCGACAACAACCTGCTTGGCAAGATTTTTCATTTTTTTATTTCTTACGGCATCTCGCGTAGTTGACGCTTCGTTACGACCGCAAATATGTGGCACCAGATTTCTTTTCACAGCCTCAACCGGATTACGCAAAATTTTTAATAACTCCTCTTCGTGTGATAGTGGTTCGCCAATATTTGCCTTGCTGGCATCAGCCTCAGGAGTTTTCACACTAACTTCAATATCCGAACACAACTCTGTTTGCTGTTGTTGCGGAAGGTTTGTCGACTTTTCTGGCTCGTAATCCAATTTAATTAAAGTTCGTTCGTGTTTCGGTATTGAACCATTACTTCCGCCGCCACTACCACTGCTGCTCAAGCTGGTGATCGAGCTAGTCGATGTTGACGATGTCGAAGATGCTGAGCGTTGAAGGTTTACTTCTGTAGAGCTCTTAATTGGTATAATAGCCCGTCCATTGCCGTTTTCAGCTTGTCGACTCAACATCATATTGATTTTATTGTGCTGATAAATCAACTCCTCTGCGACACTGCGAGGACTACTGACATTGATAGTGACTGTGTTTGATGTGGTCGTAACTCTAAGTCCACCATAATTGCTGCCAAGTGCAAAATCATTTGCTGTGTCCCTCGTGATCGTTTTGGCACTGTAGTCAGCCACCACCACTGAAGATTGATAGAGTGGTGTGCTGGCATCGTCGCAACTTAGATTCATCGTTGAGTAGCAGTCATCACCGTTAATTAAAATTGAAGTTTTCTTCTGTGCAGTAGACATAGTGAGGTCAGCCGCTTCACCGGCGAACGTTGAACCATTCGTACCATTATACTGGAAGCTGTAGTGCGGTGATGTGGGCGACTGATGTGATTGGCCTGCCCAAAGGTGTGGTTGTATACTAAATACATCGTCGTTGTCGGTGTGACTTATTTTGAGACGATGAACTTCCGAAGTGGTTTTGGTTTTGTTGAACGGTGCAAGGCGTACAACAGTGCGTTGGTGTGGCGAGGTATTAGCGGTAATGTAGGCACTGCTGCTACGCGGTGTTGTTATCGTGCGAACTGTGCTCTCCCAGGCGTTAGGAACATATTGCTTTTGTTGTTCTTGCTGTGCTTTTGTTTCACGACTATTTTGTGTTACCATTTGCTGCATGCCACATTGTGCGTTATCTGAGAGGCTTTCAAATGCCAGCTGCGTTTGAGTTTTTGTACACACTTCTTGTTCTTGCTGCTGCTCCTCTAATCCGTTTGTGCTGACTTTGGAGAATCGTGAATTTTTTTCTGCGCCTGGTGCATTATTTGCTTTGTTGCCCGTCGGCTGCTGGCTTGTTGCAGGCACAAGCGATAGCGTCGAAATATTTGCTTGGCAGTTTTGTGTCGACTCCGCGGTAATTGTGGACGTCTCCGTCGCCATTAGTGCAATGGCTGGCATGCCGTCTTTTGTGGCTGGTATAACTGCGGCCTTGTTATTGCCAGCTCTGTTGTCGTTTGTGGTGGCGGTCGAGGTCGTTTGAGGAGCAGCTGTTGCTGGTGCATCGGCTACATGGCTACTGGCCGTGCTGGATGTGGGTGTGGGTGGCGGAGGTGGTGGCTCGCGCGGACGTGCAAATAAATCTCGGCTATCGTTGCGGTGCAGCTTGCCGCGCAATGCCATGGTATCTTTAAAACTCAAAATGGCCTCTTCGCGGTAACTTTCAGTTTTGTTGTTTTTATGACTGTTGTTGCTGTACTTGCGTTCCTTGCTTGCGTTGCTCCTTCCGGCACAAGTGTCTGACGCAAAACGCAGGTCACAATTTGTTGTGTGGTCTTCTAGTTGATAGTCGTTGTTGTTGATATTGTTGGTGTTTTTCCCGCTGGCATTGTCAGCGCGTATTATTGCTTGTGTAGTAGCACGTGGGTGGCGTTCGCTTTGTGAACGTCTGATGTGGGGATCTCGCAATTGTGTCGCTTGTGGCTGCTCAGCTTTGTTGGCGCTTTTCTTGCTATTGTTGAGCTCCCCATCTTTAACCAGGTTAGCGTAATGGGCAGTTTCCCTGGCGGGTACTTTTGCCGTTGCAACATTGGCGCCTGAAAGTATACAAAACAAAGTAGACGTTGAGCAATGACTGGCGGAAGAGTGAGCAGATGGAAAATTATAAACCTTCCAATGCTTGTAAGATAAAAAATAAAAAGTATTTCTCAAGAAGGATATATAAATGTGTTAAAAGCACCATATTTCGCCGAATATTCGTGATAAATTTAATGTTTCAAGCTCAAGTGGCGTTTTTCGCAGATATTCCTAACATTATTTCCCATTTATGCGCGACCTTGCGTTCAACGTAGAAGCGTCGGCGCCTAAGTACAAAAGATGCAGATTTATTTGTTATCACGAAATTTTGCAGTAACGGCGCCAAAAGACAAGCTATCCACATTCTCTTCTCATACAGATACTTTCTCTGCGCAGAGCAGACCCGCATTTCGGCTGGCCTGCGTATGTTTTCTTGTTGACAGTCGCTTTATGATCGTTTCATAGCGATAAGGTGTTTTGCGGTATACAAGTATGTGGTGGTTTCCTTGATATTACTGTATGTGTGTTGCAAGTGATATCCGCTTACTTTCACACCATGTGCCGACTATTATGTGCATGAAATAGGGTGATTTACGTCGAGACCGATAAGAGACCACCGCATTAGACGTAAAACTAAATATATATACATAAACCTTGAATAAAAATATTTATTTATTCAATATTTAAGAGTATGTAAAGTATACACGCATTTATATTGTGAAGAAAGTCAATGACGTATTTCCGATAATAATTTGAATTCATATTATTGTGACAATTTTAGTTATGGTAGCATCATGTTGTCGTCTCAATACCCTCATTTCTCATATCGGCCATAAGTGCCTTGGTTACCCGGTCGGCATTGGAGAATGTCGCCAGGAACAAGCATCGAGAAAAAGGAGGTAGTAGCTGAGATTGCCAAGAGTTGGTATAGCTGTCCTTCGGAAACATGACCGACAAAGATAAACTCATGCGGTGTCTCTACGACGATCTGTACAGTAGTATGGCAAGGAAGGTCAAACTTCTATGGAACGATTTATCGGGTTGCAAAATTACAAAAATCAAGTGTAAAGCTGTAGATCTGAAATGCACGAAGTTCCTACTGACATTCGATAATAAGAACTGTAGGAATGATCACTGGTCACAGCCTGGTGGCAGCGCGCGCATGCAGAAAGGGGCTGAGTGATCGAAAAAATTGTAGAAAATGTCAAGAGCAATGCACCAGGAAAACAATGGACCATGTATGGGTTAAAGGAAGATTGAAAAAACCCAGATATCAAGAGTACTAGACTTGCGTTTCGGTGCCTTTGCTTATACTTGATTTATTGATTTAAGTTTCAAATAACTTCATGGGATCCAAAATGACGATGTATGGCAAGGAGGGGTACTTAGACAGCGTTCTGAAGAAGTCTCTGAGGTATAATTTTTATACCCTGAACAAGGTATAGTAAGTTTGCTACAAAGTTTGTAACATCCAGAGGGAAACGTCGGATACCTTAAAATATGTATATATAAAGGATCGGCGCGACGAACTGAGTCGATTTAGCCATGTCCGCCTGTCTGTCTATAAACTGAACGATCAAAATCATGTCCCTAATCATCAAAATCAAATTATTGTATGGAATGTTCTGGGAAGGGTATTATAGCTTCGGTGCAACCGAAGTTAACGTTTTTTCATGTGTGATTTCAAGCGTGACACTGCTCATTTTCCAATTTTTTAACTATTCATATTGAGGTTACTCAGTGAAATGCAAACAGTCTTCTAGGGTTAATTTAAATGGCTCTTATATAAGATATATGAATTAAAGCTGTCGGGAGTCTGGCCCACATAAGCTCCTCCCTTAAGTTACTCCTTGTGCCATATGCCATTTTAATGGTTTAATTCGTATGCTTTAGTTCTGTGTATTCGCTTCCACATTTAACTATTTCTTGCTAATTTCGATGAGTTGGCTCCAAAGGTGATATTACACATTCAGACGTAGAATGATGTCCGCATTCTGCTTCTAGGTATGTATGTACGTGAGTGTGCTTGTGTGGGTGCAGCATACCATACTTTACGTGTAGTCTCGTTGTTTGCTTCATTTTCCTTTTTTGCTTTTATTTTCCTCGCTATTTGACTACTTTAAGACGAGCAGTCACGTGCTGATGCCGAAAATCTTTTATGATCCTTTCAAAAATTCAACACAGTAAATAAACTTTTAAGTTCACTCGAAATCTTTGCACTGCTCCGGTGTTAGCGTAGCATTTGTATGTTTGTTTCTTTCACTTTTCTAAGCAACTTTGGAGGTAGCACATCCAGTTGCAATATCGCTGCCACCTGCTGTACTATTGCTCTTAGCAATCGTCATCACCGGTGGTGTTACAGAAATTCATATTTGCATAGTAAAAATTTAATCTTATCTGGAAATTGTAATGTCAATATTTTCACGAAATTTTTTATTTGTTAATAAAAAGCGAACGGATTGCTAAATATCTTGCTTCTTTTATAACATTTGATTGTGAAGTGTGGAAAGGAAGTGGGGTGCATAAGTGGGAACGGGAAAACGATAAATGGGTAAATGAAATAGCGAGTTCACTCATATCGCATTACACTTGTATTTTTTGTTTTTGTAGTACACGGGAGCGGAATAGTAAAACTTTGATTTTCTTAGCGTTGTAGATAAGTATAGTGAGCGATGAAGAGGGATGAAAAGTTGTTGCAAGAAAAAATAAAAGATAAGCTGGAAACTTTAGAAAATTGCTATTGAATTTTTGATCCATTTGAAGGTTTTTTCGAGTTAGAATTTCTTTATGCACCCGAAGTTTGTTTATCAACGATAACGAGTTAAAAAGAAATTATTAAAAAATTCGTGATCCTAACAACGCCATTAGAGCTTTTCTTCTTTTTTTTTGGGGTAGGCGTCTTAATGCAGTTTGAGGACTTCTATTAGAGGTAAATTTTCGAACACCCTCGCTTACCTTATGCAAACAATATTAATTGACATAAATCGTTGACTCGTATCGTGCGGACTAAACTTAAATGCTAGAAAGACGGAGCTAGTATTGTTCACTAAAAAACACTGTACTTCTAAAGTTATGTCGCCATTTTTTTAGGAAGATTTCATGGATACCAAACTTGGACGCCAGGGTGAAGAATGCAGCTAACGCACTTTACACCGGCAAAAGTATGGTGGGGTCCAATCGGGGATTAACGCTTCCGGTAGATCATTGGTTTTATACAGTATTTGTAAGACCGATTATGACATACGGTATATTGGTATGGTGGCTAATAATGGAACCGAAATACGCGGTGAGGCCTATGGAAAGCATGCAAAAAGCAGCTAGTATATGCATCAGTGGAGCTCTTAAAACAACGCCAAGTCAGGCACTAAACATCATTTTACATTTACTGCCAATAGACTTGTTTTGTAAGCAACCTGCAGCGAAGTCAGCTCTTAGACTGAGGGAATATTTTTAAATAGTCGCCTGTAATAAGGGGCATTCTAAGGTACTTACTAAGTTACCATTTCAACCCACTACCACAGATTCTGAAATCAATAAAATTGAAACCAAATTCGGTCCCCAATATTGCCTTACCTTCTAGAGAAGAGTGGGAAAGAGGCGAGGTGGATAGGGACGCATCTATACGGATGGGTCCAAACTAGATAAGCGAGTGGGAGGTGGTGTCTTTTCAGCAAAATTAGAAACCAAAATCGTATTCCGTTTATCAGACCCCTGTAGTGTCTTTGAAGCGAAGATCAGAGCAATCGTCGGAAAGCCTTGTTGTTCTGACAAGAAGTGTGCTCACAACAAGGAGTATATTTATATATATGGATAGCCAAGCGGCTTTGAAATCACTAAAGTTTCCTAAGGTTTCATCAAAGATAGTGAAAGAATGTCTTGATCTCTTAGTGGACCTAACATCCTATTTTACAATAAGCCCGCAATGTTATCCAGGGCATAGTGATATCCCTGGTAACTGTGAAGCAGATAAACTAGCCAGAACAGGCACCACTCTACAATTAGACTCACTTATATATTATATATTTATTAACGAACATGTTATAAATTGACTGACTTGCTCAACGAGCAGGCAAACGTGGCATGAATGGAACATGGGCCGCATATGCCGACTATTAAAATTCATTATTAAATACATAAGAACTTTAGTAGGAGTGCTAACAGGTCACTGTCTAATTGCCAGCAGACTAGGTGCACCATATAATAGCTATTGTAGAAGCTATCAGGAGGTTACTATAAAATATTCTCTATGCGAAAACAGGAAAAGAATTGCAACTATCGGTCGAGAGTTTCTTGACGACGTGTCAGAGGTTGCACAAATAAAACTATTTGTACTGATGAACTTCATCAGAAGCACGGTGTGGTTCAGAGAGGAGAAAATATAATGAGGGAAGAACGTTAGTCTCGGTGGTATCACAATTGGGCTACTATAGGCATAGATGCGTCGTCAGACAGCCACTCTACCTACCTACTTACTTATCTAGTTTTAGGTTTATTATTGCAAACTGTAACGCCTTATATAATCTCTTATACTTGCCGAATCTCGTTTTGAAGTTTTTTTTCTATTCTTGTTGCAACAAACCAGTGCGTACCGCGCTTAAATTTGCCTGTAGACAAAGCGCTTTAACTCAACTAACCTTCCATTTATTCAGCGCTCAGGTTATTCGTGCCACAATTCGCACGAACATGTTTTCCCTCAACGTGCAACACTTTAAACCATTTTCGCGGATAGCGGCTATCTAATAGTATATATACATGCGACGCTACATACATTGCCTGTGCATATGTATGTGTGTAGATGCACCACATCATGTGGTCGTTCACCAGGTCGCGTCCTCTCATTTCGGCCTTAAGCAGGCACTTAGTGGCCGACATAAATCTGTGCACCAAATCCAAGCAATTAAATGTGTCGTAATTCAGGAAAGGATAGTCCCACAAAAGCAACACAAATTGTAACACAAGAACAAACAACAAAAGCAGTCTATGTGCACGGTCCAGAGAAGTAATAATAATAAGAACATAA